ATTGCAGGATCACTTCAGATGTGAGTTTATACTGCATGGTTGGAGAAATACCAAGCTAATATATTCCAGTCGGATTGTTTCGGGGCGAAAGCCAGCTGCAGCTCATGCTGTGTCATAGAAACTTACATCGGTCGACCGCCGTAATTCTGGTTGTACAGTCCAGATAGGGCGCTAGACTCGGTTGGGGTTCTAACGCGACAAGTGGATCGTACTATCAAAATTACCACAGGCACCCTAGGTACATTTGTTACAGCCATTAGCGCACGAATACACCATTTTAGTTAACAATATAGTTTTCTAATCCTCTGCACCCAAAGTCCAAAGCATCTACAGCCCGCCGTCCCGTGCTGCAGTGTTCCACGTTACATTGGATAAACATCGGCCCCTATTTAGTTTCTTTGATATGTTCACTGGTGTGTTCTGAGAAATTTATTCCCAGGTCGTATCCTATTTCATTTGGGGTATAGTGAATTCTTGTAGGATCTTATAGCCCAGGCTATACCGTCAGTTTTCCTTAAACAATTTTATTTTCTTTTCAGGGGACAGCAGCAGCTTTGAATACACTCAAGTTCAGAACCGGCGCCCGGGTCTAAGATTCGTTAATTGCTTCCAAATCTGTTGCCAAGTCCGCGCTAGTCCTCCCTCGGACAGGTTCGGAAAATCGACTGGCTAAGCCCGTTGCTTGATAGTGCGAGCCAGTCTATATCGGGAATAATTCATCCTTGGCATAGAAGCAAACAAAGGAAAAGATTAGAAGACCCGGGCGCCGATTTTGAACATTAGTGTACAAACAATTAGGGAAGCAAGGAACAACATGGAAGGCATCAACCTGACAGATATGGTACAAGGAAAGTCTGCAGCTCATGAACAGGCCAGGATCAGTGAATGCAGCCGGATCCGGCGAGATATTGATTCCCACATTTCAGCAACCGATCTATTCAGAGAGCGCGAGCGCGCATTTTCAGTTTATACTCCTCAGTTCTTGTGTGCTATGTGCTGCGAGACTCTTCCGCCAAGTCTTTTCCAGGGGAAGACCCTCAAGAATGACTTTTATTGCGGATTGAATTGTTGCTGTTGTGAACAGACTTGCAACTTTGGGTCTATTGTAAGTAGCGTGGCTGTTGATATAACCTAGTAGCTTACATACAATTAGATATCAGGCATCCAAGCGATTCAGGTTACGGAGGCCCGTGATCATCAATCCCAGATCATACCGCGTGCCCCACAAAATGCGAAGGGGGGAGCAACTATCTGCGATGACCCGATTCAGGGTTGTGAGACACCCAAAAAAAATCGCATCTCATTCAACCGGATCTATCACACTGAGCTATATCGCAAGTTATTATTTGTTATTCTGCCTGAAAATACCTGCCAGGTACTCACCAGGTATCTCGTCGAACGTTGCGCTGGTAGCTCGGCATTACAGATAGAGAAGACTGCACTGGTTACGAGATCAGGTAAGGACCAATATGATCATGTTTAAGTGAAGTCTAATCTTAGTATTTGACAGACCACGAGGCGGCTTTAAAGTCGATACTCGATCACGTTCAAGCCGATGAATTGAAAGAATTTGTCGATCAGATCCGTGCATCGTTTAACGATAAAGAATGCGGGATAATATATACTATCCTCGATGCGTGGAGAATCAGCCTTGAATATCGTCAAACAAGTTCGTATTTAAGTCTGAACTCGTTGTTGTCTTTGACTGACAATATTGATTTTGTTAGGCCCCAACTTTGAAGCAAATATAGAGGTAGTGCCGGTAGGCCAGAGTACCGATTGTTCATCTCCCTCTCGCCTGCCTTCTACAAAATCGAGCATAAAGCAGCAAGGGCCTAAGGATGGATGCGCATCCTGTAAGACCACAAGGACCCCTTTATGGAGAATAGGCCCCAGCGGGGAAAAGGACTACTGCAACGCATGTGGGTTGCGATGGTCCCAAGGCAGAAGAAGACGCTTGAAGAAACCAAAAGCTACAGTGCAAAGCTAGTCAGTCCCGCTTATAGTGAATATCAATTGTCTCAAACCTCTAAGTAGCTTCAAGTGAAGAAATTATGGAGATACACACACAGACAGATAGCTGCGACCGAGGCGGACTCTCGGGGTGACCTTGGTTTGTTTGCGCTGCCGTGTTTAATCGGGCGTTGTTAGTGCTCTGGCTCGCACTTTGGTGGGTCGCTAGCCAAACTGGTAGCAGGGATATATGCTGCAAAGTGTGTCTGTGCCGGCTTCCCCGGGCCATTTGATTGGGTTTCTATACCAATGGGTAAATACCCAAAAACATAAGCGCGCTTTAAGAGATTACAGCGCAGATTTTTACCGAATCAAGGAGGACGTCAGACAAAGCCCTCCACCATGCCTTTCTGAATGTCTCACATCGTCAACCTTTCAGGTATGCCAACTTTCGGCTTGTCCCTAAAAGGGGGAGTGTGATAGTATCTAAGGGTTCCATATATTAGTGGCGGACCCGACCACCCACCGCCTTTCGCCGGTGGGTGGTCGGCAGCGTAAAGGAATTTGCAGCGTAAAGGAAGAATTTGAAGCAATTTGAAATATCTCAACAAAACACGTAAGAAATTAATAAAATGCAACTATTCAACGTATTCCTATACTAATTCTCTTTATTTGAAGCAGTATTTTGACCTTCAAAAACGAGCGGTGGTGGAGAGGTTCCAAACGCTTCTTTATATGCTTTGATCGCCTTTTTCTGCTTGCTCGCCTCTTCCTTCGCTTTACGATCGGAAATCGATCGATTCGCATCTTTGACGCTCAATATACCAGTATCTCGAAGCCTTGGAACCTCTCGTTTGGTTGTTTTGCGGCGACGAGAAGCCTGAGTTGCTGTAATTCGTTCGATCGTGGTGTTGAGATTCGCGAGTTCTTCCGCTTGAAGTTTTGAATAATGCAGTACGCGTTGAAAGCCTCTACGAAGCTTTGGAGTGAGATCCACGGAATCCATGATTTTAGAGAGCTTTTTCTCGCTTTTCATAACATCTTGAGCGCTTTTTGGAGGCGTATTTTCAACGCTTGAAGAAGAGAGGTTTGGAGGAGGCGTAGTCTCTCCGTATACGCGAAGATCAGGCGCTGAGATCTCTAGAAGCGGTGGTAAAGTTTTTTCAATTGCTTCAATTTGAGCAGATCCATCAGGAGGGAAGATACCGCGTTCTTTAAAAGCTTCGCGAATGATTCGCGGATGAAAAGCCTTTTTGTGTGCTTCAGCGATATCATGTAAAAAGTTCGATTTATCTCCCGGTTTTCCACTCCACTGCGTAATGCGATTATTCAACGTTTTAAAATGCGTTTTGTAAGCGAGAAAAGGCTTTCCATCAAGCGGTTGGCAAAGATGAGTCGTATGAGGTTTAAAGCAAAAAGGAAGAATTTCGTAGGTCTCGCAAAGTTGTATAAATTCAACGGTCTTGTGAGTTGTATGACCGTCAAAGATAAGCACACGTTTTTCTCCTTTTTTCAAGCGATTTTCAGTCGAGGTTTCTTGATGAAATTTGTGAAGCCAATCGATTGCTAGCTGATCGTTGATATAGCCTTTTTCTGAGACTGCAGTATAGAAATTCGGCAGTTCTTCATCATACCAATTCTCCATAAATTTCTTGCCTTTGAAGATAAAGAGCGGCGGCATACTCCAACCATCCGCTGCAACACATTCAAGCGCTGTAATGGTCTCGGAATGTTCGGATTCAGGAAGATCAGGACATTCTTTATGTCTGCTGATGACTTTTTGACGTTTTCCAATTCCTGGTTGAAAGCCGCATTCGTCGAAATTGTATACGAGTCGTGGCGGAAGAGATTTGATGATATTCGCGAGTTGATTATACCAAAATTGCAAAACTCCAACATCTTCAGCTTCAATCCTTTTCATCTCCTTTGTTTTCTGCGTCATTATAACCAATTTGAGGTCCGGAGGGAGTCTTTTCACGAGGCGATACACCCACGATCGATTGACGCTTCGTTCGGGATTAACGCGTTTGACTGTGAGGTTTGCCCATTCTTCAATCATCGAGATAGTGACGGGAAGGTGAAGATCTTGCATTTTTGTAATCCAATGGACTAAAGCAGTCTCTTGATATTGATCGAGAGCCTTATTTGAAGGGATTCGAGCACTGCGAGGGCCTCGTTGGTCGTAAATGCGGCCATGCAGAGTGCGGTAAGGAACGCCAAATTGCCGCGCGATCTTCGCGATAGAGAGGTTTTTATTGTGCTGAGCGAATTCAACGGCTTCATTTACGCGTTCATCGCGAATTTTAGAGGATTTAGGCATATTTGGTGGTTGGTATGGCTTCAAAAAGGTGTTTTATTGAAATTCTTCCTTTACGCTGCAAATTCCTTTACGCTGCCGACCACCCACCGGCGAAAGCCGGTGGGTGGTCGGGTCCGCCACTAATAGCTTATAAACAGTGAAATATTGTTGCATAACCTACATATAGATTGATATGCTGTCTCCGATTCCATAATTAAGCCCAGAGCATCAGAAATTGCACGGTACGGGGTATGAAATTATAGAGCTAAATCACCTTTTATCTCCATAGCCACGTACAATCATTCCTTATCGTCCATTAGTGACTTGCGCGATGTAACCTACTATCTTAGTCTAGTGATCAGCCTGGTATCTTTCACTCAATCTGTTTCTTTGTGGGACTGACTATGCCTGTGGTGGTGCCAAATTTGGGAAGATCAAAGCAAACTAATTCCTGACTCGTATATATCCCTGCAAGCTCTAGACTTATTGGACTAAGTAGGTGGAAAAAGAAACTAGAGGTTCGCATTTGACTTAAAAGCTGAAATGTATCATAAATAAAATGTTAGAAGAAGTGTCACTGTAAAAAGGCTATTGTGATATGTCGCATTATATCGCCGATTCATCCCTTTCATCTAGCCCTTTACTTTACTTTCATGACGCCAAAAGCGGTCAAAATCTGAAAGGTGTTCTTATTCGAGTTCATTTACAAGTAATTCTCAATGGATTGGGTTACGAGGTATACTTCGCTCTACTCGCCAGGAGCAGGAGCAGGATCGGAGCAATCATTATCATCCTGTGGTCGGTCGATGCTATTAATGCTGCTGCTGCGGCACCCCTCTTGCGCATGTCCATATTGCTGGAGGGAATGCATCGCTCGGGCGCCCAGGGCGCTATCATACAAGGCCTGACGTTTCAGCACGGGCCGCGAGCCACTGTGGCCCTTTGCCTCGACGAAGAAATTAGGCGTGATGGGACGACTGCTATGCCGGGTAGGGATGATCTGGTCACTGAGCTGTTCCCGGACATGAGGATGCAGCTGGTGAGGCTGCGCGCCGTGGTAAACATCAGGCTTGGCATTGGCAAGAGTGCCGTTCGTGAGCGGCGCCAGATTCGTGAATGGGTGGTTGCCGCCATTGTGGAAGGAGAACTGTTGTGGACCGTCGAGAACAGGAAGGATTTTATTGATCACGAGCTGCTCATCGGGGGTCCTGTCATTGAGTCGCTGGAATTCTTCATATTCTTGGCGCAGGGAATCTTCAGACAATGCAAGGGACGGACGACGGGCTCGTAGACGTCTTTGAATCTCGGCGATGTTCTCTGGTTTACAGACGGAGCTTTTGGAGGATCCTTGGCTCATGGGGAGGGAGGGTTGAGTGAGTTTGCAAAGTTCCTGCGCTACCTTATATTTATCACACTGTCCCGGTGGTGTAAGGGGTAGAATAATAATACATCACGCCTAAGTCGCGGGTTCCCCGCCCGGTCTTTTTCTATCACCGTACTAAGAGGTCGTCCCTTGCACTATAACTGCTCTAAACTAATCCCTTCTTTATGAGTAGAGCCGTATTTTACAGTTCCACCTAGCCACGTACAAATAGACGAAAGGACAGATAATCGACCTTGCTATAAGACCTCCTATGCGCATGATAGCGTAGTTTTACGAATATCTTTAAAAATAACGATATCTTCTGTTTGACTTTGCTCGTCAGGGAGACAAGTCGTCACTACTTTTCTTTTCTCTTCCCGTCCTTTGAAAATACCTTTGTCCTGATGGTGTTGGCAAAGGTGGTGGGAGATGAGCAGTATAGTGATGGTGTTCAAAGACTTGCTGAATTCAAAGCCTGGGGATGGCGATTACGCAACCTCGCCAAGGGAGTATTCTTGGACTCACTAGTTGCAGATGCAGCAAACCTCGAGCTTTTTCCAGCCGACACCTCTCGAGAATACGTATCTTTTCAATACAACGTAATACAGCAGGAAGGGTCTAGTAACGCAAGGTCTCCTTGCTTCCAGACTGCGTTCGTGCATATATTTGGGGAAGCGGTTTAAGCGTGATTCTGGGAGGCAGGCCTGAAATGAGGTAACTGTTATTGGATGCCAGATCCAGCAACCATCCCTACTCTCGACCGTCTTTGATTGGCTATTTCACTGCTTAGGCAACACGCAATCAATCGAGCACCATGCTCTGCTGAAACCGCCACCCCTCTCTTGGAACTCGTATGCGAACGGCTTGCGTCCACTTAATCTTATCTAGTTCCTGGCAGGTCTGCTTAACAAATACGAAGCGATAACCAAGCCTCCTTGAGCTAGTATAATGCGCGCTCTGCGTACAATCTGTTTCTAAAACATTTGTAGTTGGATTGTCTTAGTTTACAGAAGTCCCTTAAGGTTGCGGGAAGGTGGGTGCCATAAAATACGAATAGATTAGTTATTCAGATTTTCCGTTCATCTACGGCGCGGGATTAATACTTGGATACTAGTCATAGTATTAACACGTGCATTCTGGCCCCAAATACATCCTGTCCAAACCACAAACACAGATATCATGAGGACGTACATTCAAGAGTCCGACTAGTTGAAACGAAACAGGCGGCTGACCTCCTTAAACTGTCAGGTCGTCAATTGTGTTGGGTGATTTACAGGTCAGGAGTATGAGACCCGTGGATAAAGCTGACTGACGACTGATCCATATTAACTGGACTAGACTAACTTCTCTATTGCTAATTACAGCGCGTTCACCGACATGAGGAACCGTGTAAAGGGCCGAGCAGAAATTGAACGGGGTGAACGTTTCTTTGTACGTGCGCAGAAGGGTGTATATCCAGAATTATCCACTTTGTCAGCAGAGATCTTGAAGAAACAAACTAACACATAGGTGGAGCAGGACAATCTATCTATGGATATTGGAAAATTTATTGACTGACAAACTTCCGTCGACATATCTCGCTAGGACATAGGGTGTAGTTCTCCTGTACTACAATCTCTTGTGGTACGGTAATCGCTTAGGGGCAGAGCAAAACAAAGACTGATTGAAATAACACATAAACGCTCTTGATCTTGTCTTATACCTCTTCTGCTCTGCTCTGAAGAAAAGTTACTATTTTTTCCAAGCTGTCAAAAGACCATCCTTCCTCGCGGACTTCTGGCATCATTGGATCATCTTTAGAATGATCATCAATAGGTTGAACATCTCCGGAGTTTAATCCCCATGTGGAAAGCTCGATCAGTGGATCCAGGGTAACCTTTGCCTGTATGGGTAGTTCCATGTCCCAAGCATCTTCGAGGTCAATGATGAAACTATTTCCCAATTAGTAGATAGTTATATCGATAGGAGAGATACATACCATCGCTGGGAGGCTTTATCCCAGATGAGATTCGATCGCCGAGGGTCATCGTGATAGAACCCTTTTTTGCGGAACTCCCTGTGGCCCAATTATGTGAATGTTAGACCAAAAAAAAAAAAAAAAGTCGCGAACAAAGCGTCAATGATAGTTGAACAGTTCGCCTACCATAATGCCCTAATAAATGCAATTCTCACACTATCCCGCTCATCGAGTGAGAGACTTCCAAAATTTCGTAGATCTTGCCCATGAATTTTTTCCATCACAATAAACACCATGTAGCCGTCGGGGCAATACATCTGGCTAGACTGCCTGTAGGCGAAACATTCGATTAGTTTTGGAGTCGAATTGCACTCTGCTTTCGTCAGATCTTCGAGATTTTCAATCTCGCGATGCGCCTCGCTACTGTAAATGAGCTCTTGGGTGTTGGGGGTGTTCCAAGGGGTTAGCCTATATTTTTGATTAGCTTTCGCGCTGTAATCTCAAATAGAAGAAGTGATATACTGTATCTTAATTTTCATCACCGCTTCAATTGTTTCTCTACCTTGAGCAGACTCTTCGTTTATCTGGGTTGCTATACAAGTCCCTGTAATCTCTTGGATTGTGCCTTCGCGGTCATGGTGGACTCGAGTCTTGTATGTCGATATCTTGCCCAAGGACCACTTTGTGGAGGTTGTGCTGGATGGTATTGTCTTTCCAGCGAGTAGTCCCAGGGATTGATCATATAAAGAAGACATGATTGTAGCTTGATGAAAATAAAAGCAGAAAAAGAAATGCCAGGGGAAGCTAGGCAATATTAACAGTGATCACACTCGGTCGGGGACTCGTGAAGCTCTGCGGGGGCGGTGTGACGCACACTAAACCGAACTCGGGACTCAGAGGGTATTAGGACTGTTACTTGCGCAAGACGATGAGGTGTCTAATGCTTTTCTCCGGGCTTGAGTTCGCGAAAAAAGATCAAGGAGTCAGTAAGAGGCCTTATATGTCTTCCACCTACTGATATGTTTGCTATCGGTTGAGAGGGCTGGCTTATCGAAACACCATAAAGTATGACATGGGTTTTTGCCTGCTTAACGTGCGAAAATGGAGCTTTGGCGGTCAGACACTACATACCCTGGACCGCTCATTGGGCTGATAAATTGACGCTCCACTTGGCGCTTTCGTATTCTGGTACGAAGGGCTGGGGGAAAGTAGCCGAAGGCTTTTAAAAGACTTCATGGTTATCTAGCTTAGGTTATTCATACTTTATCCATCAATCCTTGAAAAATTATGAAGCACTAATAGATTGTTCCTGAACTCAGTGACTCATGGTTTTCTCCAAAAGGCGTCTGGGGCAGAATTGACAGGTATTGTGAATCGAGAAAGTTGTAACTAACGATATCTGCCATGTTCTGTTATCTAGCTAAGCCATATAGGGCAGGTCTACCGCATGACCCCTGCAATGTTGATTGCATGCAATCAACATTGCAGGGGTAAAGAGAAAGGACTAGGCATAGTTTCTCAATAGCCACTCTAGAATTATGTGCTCGCGCAAATTCGAGGCCCTTAAGTCCATGTCTGTCTATCATGTAAGCTCTAGACGGGGGCCCTTGCAGCTTATCTCAATGACTTGTAGTTGACAGAGGAGCTGGGTATCGTGGTAGCTATGGCAATTTTTATTGCGAATGGTATGAAGAGACCCGGAAACCCGATGTATGAGCCAATCTAGACCTCCGAGACTGTCGCTGGTATACAGTAAGAAGCGTGCCTCAGCTTTGATAGTCAGAAATTTAGGCGCGATGTACGGTGTACTTCCACAAGAACCAAACTGGCTTAATAGGACTTACGGCTGTTTGGTAACATATGCACCAGCCAAGAGGAGGTCTTGGGTCTTTACACCTACTATCAGTAAGGAGAAATTATTACAAAAATCATAGAGGATAAAAAAAATAGCAGAGATAAAATATAACACAGTACCTCGCCCGAGAATGCGCCAGGAGATATAAAGTCCACCACAGCCTATTCTCAGATTTATCCTACAAGTTGTCTTCTCCTTCCCTTCTTCCATTTGCCATATCTGTTGTAACTATTGGAGATTTCTTATTTTCTTTCAACCCTGTGCCATGGACCGATCCAAAAACCTCACTGCCTCAAACCCCGAGGAGGAACGTGCCGAACTACTTACGGCCCGTCAAATAACGATGGACCCTTACCCCAAGTTCGCGGAGTTGCCTCAGAATCATTCCTCTGGTACTGGATTACACGAAATAGACTTTGTGGGTGAACTTCGTTACTGGAGCGAATTCTTACCTGAGGTTCGCAAGACCTTTCGAGAGACTAAATGGGATGACGACCGCAAAGTGTCAGCTCGACTATGTCCACAAGATTTGAACCTGGGTGAATACTTCCGCTGTGGTGCTGAGATTTCAACAAGTGGCAGATATGTCACACATGTTTTGAATCCGATGAGTGGTATTGCTAAACACCTAGGTTATAATATCACCTCTGGCGATTGGAGCGTGGCAGGTGTGAAGCTAGAATGGCCAAGGTCTATGCCTGCAATACCAGCAGAGAAGGACAGGTCATCTATACCGGACTATGTCTTAGTCGACACTATGGCCAAAAAGCCTCGTGCTTTAGGAGAGGCAAAACACCCATGGGGCAAGAACACAGACCAAAATGTGAAAGGAGCGCGTAAGGGAGACGCAGCCCAAGAGAAGCTGTTGCGCCGGTTTTTGGGTAGGTGCCATCAAGCGAGCACGGTGTTTTGTTTACAATAATCTTAACTTTGATTATTAGGACAAGTGTCTCGTGATATGTGGGCGGCTAAATTGAAGCTTGGTTTTATGACCACCTACACATGGACAGTGTTCATTCGTCGAGATATAGTCGACAAACAATGGGTTCTCTTCTACTCGGATGCCATACATCACACGACTAAATCCGAAATGGGTACATCGGATATATCCGCCTCGGTTCGAGAGTGCATGCTGTACTTCTTCACACTAGCTTCTGGGGATCGGTCAAATTGGTCTTTAGAAAATGAGCAACAGGAGCCGCTAGAGCAGTGGGTGAAAATCATAGAAAGAAAAGCAAGCAGCCGTTCGAAAGCTACCGACGCAACCGTTTTGCCTCAACAGGTCCATCGAATTCCCTCTGAAGCATCACTGAGACCACCAACTCCGACCACCAGCAAGACAACGCAGCTACCACAGCGCCCCCGAAATCCTGGCCTAGGACAGTCAAAATCGAACTCTACAGCTGTGGAGCGATCTAAATACACGGATGTCGGTGAGATTTCAACATATCAGGAATTCTATAAATTTACGTTGAATGGGCGTCTGCAAATGAAGCACCAGGAAGATGGACTGTGGATCAAAAGAATGAGAATCTACTCTACCACGAAATAAGCAGATTGCGCGGCATTCTTCAGGGTCCTACATCCACACTTGGGGCTTTGCAAGGTGCTGATGGGAAGGGTAAGGCCAGAGCCGATAACGATGAGCCTCTCACTGGTTTGAGAAAGTCAACAATGGCCAGTCAAGGAGTCCGAGGCCAACCAACAGCCCCTTCTAAGACTCTGCCAAAATCTCCGGCTCCAAAATACAAGTACATCGGACAGCTGCCCACTGGATGGAAAAGTTACAAGTATGAAGAGGGCGGTTTGTCTGTCGACCTTCCAAAGTCTCAGTGGAGGGAATCTGGGGGTTACTATTATCATGAAATAAAAGGGCTGCAGGGTAAGGCTCCATAAGAAGATCCTTCTTTGAGACAAAAGGTCGAACACCTCAATTTGGAAGCCCGGAGAAAGGCCAAGCGTCATCTATTCAACATAGAATGACAGTGAACTATCTTGTTTTTATTTTGGGATTATTCTATGTTACGCACGTGAGAAATCACACAGATGCTGCTTGAATTACTAGATTATTTGATAGGTTAGCGTAGGATGGAGTATGGCTCGTCCTGGTCGGTGTACCAGCTTCAGCCCCTCGAACGCATACCGAATCAACTCGAAGAAACTGCTGCACGACATGTGGCCTGTGCGCGATTGGAAAGGATGAGGCAGACGATGCCTTGCCAGTGTGACTGCCAAACGAACTAGGTTCCATTTCTAGTTTAGTTTATACCATGGTCATGTGCATGACGCAGCACCCCTATTCCTGCCGTAGTTATCTGTAACTCGGTTTAGTCAATCATTTCCACAGCAACAGTGAAGTCTTTTTGGAACCACCTTTTCGGACAATGTCGAGCATTCTTGCTGCACTGGATTGCATAAGAACAATTCAGGACGAAGAAATATTGGAATATCGTGAGCAGGTCCTATCCGCATTGGAAAGAATAGAGAGAGTTCTACAACTACCCCAAAGAAGTGGAACTTCGGTTTCTGAGGACAGAAACCATCAAAGCCCATCACCGTCTCCGGGTATTACAGAAGACTCTGGCTTTAAGAGCGACTCAGAGAGCGACTCAGAGAGCTACACAGATGGCTGCGAGAAAGTACTGCATACCTTAAAAGCAAATTTAGGCACTATTCAAAACTATGCGGCTCAGACGGTTGAAGAAGCTGTGGGTGACGCACCGCAAGAGAGGGAAGACCCTCGAGTCCTCGATGCCCATGTCTACCATGGTGCCACAAACAAAACACCGACAATCAAATTCCGCAGGGCCTTAGCAATACGGTCTCTGTGTATGGAGTTTCTTCGGTTTCAGCAAGACTATCTCGGCTATTCCAGAGTCAGTTGGCAAATAAATCACCTCTCTTCCGCGGCAAATCGGAGTAAAGAAGGTACGATCGATCAGTTTTTGAAGTCAGAGCATATCACCGATACAAGCATGGCAAAAAGAATGATTATCCAAGGATCAAAGATATTTGTACTCGAGGGGCTCTATGGACACTGCGGAGCTACAGCAATATTGTGGTTTCTGCCAAGTTGGAGCAGGCTGTGTTATCCAGAGTTACCCATTTTTTTGGAGCTTCTACTGTCCAAGCCAGAATTTCATGACATGAAAATGATGACAGAGGACTTAAGTGGCTGGTACGAAGCATGCCAAAATCTATACAATAAAAGGGTTACGGCCCAACTGGGTTTTCTTGCCTCCCAACGGAATGACTCATGCCAGTCGACACGAAAAAGGAAGCACAGGGATACTCAGGCTCTTGATACGGAGTTGGCACAATGGCCCATCTTTACCACAGAAAGATTTCATGAGCACCCTCTGCTATGTATTGGTGAGCCAAACCATTTAAATTTTGGTATCTTGGTTGACCATCAGTTTAGGCAACCCACAGGGAGGATTATCGCTATATACCAACAACAATCCACTCATTCCACACGACCGGCTAACTGCTCCAGGATTGAATCAAACAATCAACTGTATGTTCTCGTCTGTTCGGTTACTTTATTTACCAATCATGAAGCGTGTATATAGTCTCCCCGTTAAATCGACATGACCGTTTTTGCAATGAAAGTACTCAACATATTGAAGACTATGGATTGAGGCATGGTGCTACAGCTAATACTGGTTCACATGATGACACCTTTCTATCATTGTATGCCTTTTCTAACCAACTGGCATCAATGGAAACATATACGATGCCCCTCGGCGAACCCTTAGGTGCTAATTCCAATATGACCAGGAATCCATATGCTATCCAACCTCAATACAATATCACCTCCGAATTCCTTCGCCCTACCGAATTGATTGATTACACCACAGATTTCACCGATTTTTCCGGCCCCTTGACTCACCCGACAGGCCTCCAGAATATCATTAGCACCACAAGCAACCCCACGGATTTGGCTCACCACATCGAACCCGGTCTCATAAATTATATCGACATTAGCTCGGAGTCAGCACATCCAGTTCACCACACAGCATTAGAATGCGCCAGACTTTCGAATATAGACTGGTCTCATTATGCAGCCAACGAGCATGGTCAAGCGTTAGCAGGGTCATCTTAGTACATGATATCTGTGGAAAAATCCGGTAACTACATGAGAAATGGAGATTTCCGTCTTCCTGACCGCGAGATCCTGCATTCGAGCCGTAAAGCTCCGGTATGGTAAAAGCGGAGGATTTCATCGATTTCGCCACTGTATTTATATAAAGAGGCTCTCCTTTCCATGTAGATAGATCATCATCAGAATAGTCAATCTTCAATTCATGAAGACTTTGATCACCTTTACTACTTCTAGTACCCCGTATTCCAACAAAATCGATCAATCGCGCCTACTGTGAATATAAACCTACCTTACGCAGCTTTATAACTAAATATTAGTTCACCAGAAGTCATAAGTCAACACTAATTAAATGGTCATTAGGGCACTGACCCTGTGTTCTTTTGTAGAATTGCAAACATGATATCCCCGTTTCGAATGCAATCAATCATCAGGATTTGGAATGAGTTTCAAAGCTATAATAACGCTAAGCAGAAACTTATGTAAAGACTAGACTTTTCCATTACAGGGTGCAACATACTAGTAGGCTTTATTCACTATCACTACTGGCTGTTGCTGTTTCGAACCATTCCACAAGTGACCGGAGCTCTTCAAGAGCTTTCACACTGATCAACTTCCGCATCCTGAATGAACACGGTATGATGGATTTAGTAGGAAAATGAGATGTCACGGCTCTGGCACACTCTGACATAAATATGATGGGCCGAATCTGTTGGCTGATCAAGCTTAATTAACGCAGGAATGAGAGTCGCGTGAGGCAAATAAGGTATTGGATTATACAAATATGATCTATAAAGATTTGCTAGAATCTTCAAACTATTCTTTTCAATATTGTACTGACTTGGCAAAACCCCCACCGTCAGGCATATACAACGAAGACCCAACAAACAATGACTAGAAGATAATGTGTTTTACTTGATAACCAAACACTTCGCGGGGCTCTAGACCGGTTGAGCGCCGAGTTTTCTTACAGCCGGGCCTATTCACGATTTGAAATGAACCAGAATAGATAGATCTTTTTAGGTATAGTAGCGTATCCACAAACTACTGTGCCTACCTAGCCAGTTGGATTGTCCATCACACGACTGGCCAGGACCAGGCGAGGTAGCGGATGATAACCTATTTGCGAGGCCGCCGGGACCGGGAAACACCAAAATCTGATATTCGTTATTACATTGCTTTCAGTACACCGAAATACGTTGAAGGTAGAGCTTCAAAGTCACGGACAATAATATCCCTGCGCCCAAGGAGCCAATAACACAATTTATAGGATGATAATCGCTTGAGAGCACTTAACTAAAGCAGTTCATAGCAGCGCTCTTCTTGGATATGGCGAGCGTTTAGCCATGTTACTGTCACTTCGAGATCTTGCGGCAGCCAGAAATCTATAGAGTGAAGACTAGAACTGATTCTCCAATGAATGTCCGGTCACGTCGGCACTGATAGAAACGAGAAGGCTGACGAAGCGGGCAGGCTCGCATTCAGTTAACTGATTGCTATTTAAAAGGAATTGCAGGATTGTTACTGGCGTTTGTTAAACAACGGAGATATACGGAGAATATTTGAGATCGTAAACAAGTCAGGCTTATAAAGATACATAGATAGTGAGAAAACGGGCGTTGTATAGCCAAGATTGCTCTTTGCTTTCCAGCATCCTGGACTTATCGTAGGGTGGCGCAGGCCCAGTAATTTCCCGGGTTACTATGCAGAAATCGCCAAGCCATTCAATAAGTGGCTAGCGCGTGGCGCTCGCGCGCGAGGGGGTTCTGTAACTCCTTCGCCGTCAGATCAATCTCTCGCGTGAGCGAGGGACCAAAATAATTTTCTTATAGGCAAATTCCACCGTGGATGTGTCATATATAGCATAATAGCCTTAGTTCCTGTTGTTTATCCGATGGATCGTGCCCAGCATGAACGGTTTGCCAACCACGCCGCGCAGTATGCTGCTGTAAGCGAGAGGGTGCTTCGAGAAGGACATGCCATTCGGCCTGATAACACCACCAGAGTGTATGTTCGTGGGCAGAAGCGATGGAAGGTTCTTCCTGCCCATTCCCTCTTTCTCTGCTACGGAGACGCTAATTCTCTGAGGCCAAGTAGGAATGGTGTTCCGAGATGCAATTTGTGGATGGGGAGCTTGTCAGCAACGACAAGCTCCTGCTGTACATTGACACGAAAATCATCGGCCGGCCAGCCGAAGGAACGAGGAGGAAGAAGCGAGCTCGTACCGACGATAGTGGAGATTTTGTTATTCCCACCATTTCGGAAAGGACGGTGGAGGGGGAGGTATCCGCTATCATGAGTCTCTGGAACTTTCAGTACAGCAGTCCGTCATGCCCGGTCAAGGAGCCCCCTATGCGAAGTGAGGCTCCAAAGGTATTGCTCAAGTCCAACCTAGCTAGGGAGGCCTCTAGGAAGAAGGAAGAGTTCGAGGACCGCGCGCTTGGGACGCTCCAGGATGGCTATAACACAGATCAGATGGCCGATATCGTACGCTTCTGCTGGGAGGGATGGGAGGCTGACGATCCTAAGCGATTGTTGCCGGTGACCATAGAGTCGCATCTCCGTACGGCGGTGGATTTCTTGTTCTGCCACACCATGCTGCTCAGAGGAGAGAACATTCGCGCAGCTCAATTACCCGATCTATTCGGCATGGAGCTGGAGAATGAAGGGCCCATGCTCTGCCCCATGGTGTTCATGATAATGAATAATGGAAAGACGAATCAACTAAACCGACTGGAGTACGGCATCGCGGCCCGCCATCGCCATGTGCAACGCTGCCCGATGGGGCACTTGGCTTTCTACCTCTTCTTCCGATGGAACATCCTCCGAGAGGAGCCTCCAATATTCAGCAGGCGCGAGCAGTGGTATGGAATCCACATGCTAAGGGGCGTTGATCGTCTGAAGCCGTTAGCGTACCACACACAGAAAGAGTGGATCAAGAGGTCCTTTCGTGCCGCAGGCTTGACGTCAACGTCCAAATGCACGCATATGGAAAGGAGTCAGGGCGCTCGTGAGGCGGAGCGCGCGGGCGTGAACGAGGCTCAGATACGCAGGGCAGGCCGCTGGAATAACGATGTCCTAAGCCAGTGCTACCTGTCTAACCTCCCGCGCAAATTTGTCCGTGCCACGGCTGGCTTTGATCCAAGCCTCCAGGGTTGCTACTACCTACCAAGGGCGGCAATCCAACCCCCTGAGACACTCGTACACGAGCTCTGGCCATGGGTTGACGAATGGGCGGAGTGGTATGAACGGGGGCTGGGCGACCAAGCAGATGATCGCCGTGATATCGCTGGTCAGGGCTTCCTCAGGCTGCTGAAGCTACTTCGCCCGATCTTACTACAGGACTCCGTCCTTCAAATGGCTAAGTTCCCATCGCATCCGATCTGGACTGACCCTATTTTCCATCGCGACGACTTTAAGGCCTTTCGCCGGCAGCTGGAGCAGTCTCTTAGCCAGGATACGGGGGAGCCTGAGGAGGTTCAAATCCGCCGTGCAGTGCCGGCTATCGCCGACCAGCTGAGCCAGTTACGGGGGACCGTCCTGTCGCAAATCGAACAGAGCAAGCAGGAAATCTTGGAGAAACTGGCGGGCTTTGATGACTTCATACAAGGCCGCGTCCCCTTTGTTCTCAGTCCCGTACATGATGGGCCCCTTGCCGCCACTACTCGAGCGGCCTTGACTAGGCCAGGAGCCAGTCCAGATGTGATCGCTGGTGTAGAAGCCGGTACTGGTGGCGCCGGTACTGAGACTGGAGCTAGCCTTGATGCTGTCGCAGGACTTCCGAAGTACAGACTCTCTCGCACAATCTCAACAGTTCCAGACCTTTGGAGGGAATGGACGGTCGGGTTTGGTAATGGTCCGTCGGTTCAATCCCTGGAGGACTCGTACGGACCTCGGTGGCGTCCCTCCCAAGAGGAACGTGTGTTCTTTTGCAGAAGGAAGGTTATAATTAATTGGATCCGCGCGAAGCAGCGGGAGAGGCCTAATACAGAGGCTACGGTGATTGTTATGGAGCTCGAGCGCTACCGGCGGCAGCAGCGTGCCTCTTTGGCTAAGCTTGTTGTTCTACTCAAGCAGGGTCCTGGGCCTTAGCCAATCAAGGAGGAAGGGGCTCGAACAGGGAAAATGGTACGGGGAGTACTACTGTTCAAACATGAGCCGGTAGAAGAGTTCAGCAGGTAGATAAGATGAGATGAGCAACGACCTCTCTTTTTTTATATATATCACCAGATGGATGTAATTCATGATTCAGCTAGTCCAAATCCGGTTAGAGTATTTCCTACATTTCTCAGGAGGCTTGACCTATGACAATATGATGGATATTGAGCGGGCACGTGATGCCAAGACGTTCAATATGGGAGTGTGGCAGAAATGGTCTTGGCAAAGAGCTGATTAATACGCCGAGCTTATATGATCATATGAAACGATTGAAGGTCTTGATTCATTCTAATCTACTGCAAGAAGAAGCCATATTTATGCAATTTCAGGGGCTTCAGATATGCAATAAAAGAGCTTGATCATACGATTCAAGCTCTATAATCGTACGATCAATATTGATCGATTGCTCAATCGGTTGAGCAAGGTGATGAAGTAATTGCTTAGTCAGTTCCGCGGCCACAGGGAGGTTCCTCAGCGGTCGGGAATTTCTCAGAAATGGCCGAGACCCCTCAACACCCTAGGATGTTAGAACGCGGGTGGCTTGGCAGACAACACGCAGAGGTCACAAGGAGTCTGTGCGGGAAACAAAAAGAAAACAACCAGCACCTTTTATTGCAGGTCCACGGTGAAATTCATCTACTAATTACTTTCTGCTCAAATTGTGGGTATACAGCCACTTAATTAGGTGCAGGGGTCGGCTATGGTGCCACACAAAGTTGGATTGAGCTCACCCATTACTGCAGCGCCGCCAGCGATAGTAACGTACAACACAAAAAAACATCATGAGAAGCCAGCCCGAGCTTTGAAGCACGCTCTGGTAAACGTCATTCAAAGGGACAATCACAGACACGACAGGTTGAAAACAAGAAGAAACGCGAGCGAGTTTCTTATTCACCTGCAGAAACCGGCTCTTGGTCGAGTTGAAAAGCTAGCCCAATCTATCCTGGCGGGACATTGCGAAAAGCTTCAGAAATCGGAGTATGTCGTCTCTTCAAGTTCAGTATTCCAAAATTCAACACAAGAATGGGTGATTGAATCTAATTTTTTCATTTTTTTTTACAACTCTGCAATGCTTGGACTCCAGACGCTGGTGGGATCGTGGTCAGGGAGAACCGATACGGTAGTTTCTAGCAGGATCAAAACGAGAAGGGGAAGAGACGTTGATGACTGTGAAATTACCTGTAGTGAGGAAGACATAACAGCAATTCAAAGTGCGATAACGGATTAGTTAAGCGTTTGCTTGACTGTGTGTGTTCAAGCGTGCATTTGTATTATACCAGACCACTTGTTCCTGGGCATGATCATAGGCCTTGGTAAGTTATGGAGGCCGTGAGCATGATGATGAATGATGAATAAGGCCGAGGACACGTTCGTGGAGACGCGGCTGACTAAGACGAAACGCGTTTGGGCAGGCTTGGGCGGGCTTGGGCGGGCTTGGGCGGGCTATGGCAACTACTAAGGAGGTAGCTACATTTAATCTGTTTTCACTTGAGAGCGTATTCCAGTAACTCAAGGGGAATAAGGTGGTGTATTCCTGATCCTGTAGTGCGCTACTTGCCTTCAAACGAGCACTGTCGTCGTTGGGGTTTCGGGCCTTTATCAAAAGGAAACTGCTGCTCACGTGGTCAGAAATTATCGTAAGTTAGGCTCCACTGCCCCTCTTCCGCCCTTCCCCTTCAGCGTTTCTGCTTACAACGACTAACGACATGATAGGGAAATATATTAACCACCATGTCTTCCGAACCGCTCTCGCCTGCATTTACCAATATTGTTGACGATCTAGCCAGCCTGATCAATGAAGGGAATGTACAGAAGGCGGTAGTTGAGGGTGGCTGGCGATACCATGGCGAAGCTTTTCAAAAAGAGATTGACAAACTTGAAGAGATGATGGTCAGGTGCGGTAATAAAGTGAGTCGTGCATTTTGGTATGATATTATACTTACAACTAACCTTTGTCTGTGTTAGGTTATTCGGTGCCATGCCACTCATTTTACTCGAGGCGCAAATATCCAAAACCCCACGAAACGTTTGGTCATATTTCAGATACGTGGAACGTCAAAGCTTGTCGATCCCGGTTCATATCAATACCTGGAAAGTTCACAAACGCCAAAGCCCGCCCCTGGTGAATTGCTACAGTCCAGTTCATATCAATACCTGGAGGAATCACGCACACTTATTGCTGAGGGTGAGGGAGGGGTTGATGTTGGCATAGTTGTACTGGCGCGAGACACAAGTTTCAAGAAGATGTGATGCTAGGTGGGAGCTTAACAGAGTGAACATAACAAAACAGAGCTAGTTGTATCATTTCAAATCTGGAAAGTCACAGGAAACATGTGGTTTATCATATAATCATAATGCACACCATCGGGATCGTGATTTTGAGGCTTTGGAGGCATGGAGCCTTGCACAGGGTTCTTGGGGTGGATTAAACTTGAGGGCTGGGAGGATTTTGCAAAAAGGGCATCATGGACAGGATACTGCGGCGCCAAAGCTGTTGCTGAATCATCGAGAGGGTTATAAACGGGAAACTGCGAATGTACGGAAGCCAGTACTGAATCATCGAGAGGGTTATAAACGGGAAACTGCGAAGGTGCCGAAGCCAGCACTGAATCATCGAGAGGGTTATAAACGGGAAACTGCGAATGTACGGAAGCCAGTACTGAATCATCGAGAGGGTTATAAACGGGAAACTGCGAAGGTGCCGAAGCCAGCGCTGAATCATCGAGAGGGTTATAGACAGGGAATTGATAACGTTCTGCTTGTTCTTGGTGGCTGTCTAGCAAAATGGGAACTGAAACCTGGCCCTCAGTAGGATAAAGCGCCATGGGGATAGAAGACACAGCGGTATTGTTCCAGGGTGCTTGGGTGCGATTTTCCATTTCTTGCCGTAATGCTGATTGGGATATAATGCGAGCCGCATTTCGCGCTTCTGTCTGCAAACCAAGGATTCCTTCAGAAGCTTCTTCCATGGATTTACTACCGGGAGCGTGCTGGGTAAAAACATTTCCTGAATCCACCAGGTTCTCCCGAGAGCTGAAAGGGTTGGATGAGGTTCCGGACAAACCAAAGCCCAGAGAGTGCCTCAGTTGCATTAGATCTGGCGTTATTCGGGCTTGATTTTGGGAAGATACCAGAGGGCTTGAGGGCTTCTGTGTATCCATTATTCTTGCAGCTATTTTGCGCAGGCGCCTTCGTGCCGATTTTGAGGGAAGCCGCAGGTTTAGTCTGCTAGTTGGTTTGAATGGACAGGTGTTAACAATGCATTCAAAGGCCTTCTGCAGTTCTTTTTGATGCTCTTCGTTAAAGGTCGTTTCGGCGAAAGAAACGAGCGCTTCCATCTCAATTGATTCTATCTTGGCCCTTTCAAAACTAAAGCAAGTTAGCTTATAAGCAAATCTCGAAAATGGGTAGACTCACTTAGACGAAGTACCCCGCAACGGGCTTAATACCAACTCTTTCCTCTCTAACGACGAATACTTTTGTCCATACCGTTGAAGATGAGTACATTTATCACGTAACTGCTTACTGCTCTTTCCTGGATAAGCTTGTTCCACAACGTTCCTGACAGCTGCGGTCAGGAATTTGGACTGTGTCTGAAAAGACTTTCTCAATCGCACTATTTCCTTTTGAGTGATCTCATGAAGGATGATAAGAAGGACCCGACGGCGTGCGAAGGCTTTTTCATGGTCCTCGATATATTCGTCACAGTCTCTGAAAGGGGGGAGATTGATCCGTAAACATTCCCGTATCCAGGGGCCCTCAGTACAGAAAGGTTCGAACCCCCAGAACTCAGTAGCAGGGTCTGAGGCCCAAACACTCAAGTTATCAGTTATATTGTTGTTTTTCCATTGCCTTGTAAGAGCGACAAGCCGTGGTATTTGTGTATTCGATAGCTTCTCGCCGGTTTTAGACTCCCAGCGCGTAAACCAACTGTCTGTGTCCATCTCCAGAACAGCACTACGCAGGACCGAGTTCTTCACCTAATTATTCTTGCGAGTCCGATGGTAACCAGCTATTATAGCAGTTGCAAATACAGAGAGCTGGATAACGATAGAGACGAGGTGCGTTGAGGTAAGATTGGTTCCAAATCCCCGCAGTTGTCCTGAAGTGGCCGAAAGGCTGTCGCAGCGGCCAAGTCACGTGACAAAACGAACAGGTAACTTCTTATTAAGCAAGGCAGAAACAGTTAACTAACTAACTAATAGTTAACTAACTAACTAACTAACATACATTATGTCAAGAGATCAAGGAAACCCCCATTTCATCAATCACCGCCGTTTCCATGCCCCATATCCTAGCCAAGCAGCCACCATAACTGCCCCAATCACGACGACAAAATGGTACTTGCTGCAAGACTCCTCCAAAGAAACGGCGTTCAACTCTTCCAGGAGTTCATTGGCATTTCGATAGGCACCTGGCACCCAGCACTTTTGGATAATAGATCCAAGCCAAATGCCTTGCGTAGTCGGAAGGGCTTCTCTCTGCGGCAGCGTTGCTCGAGACGCGTCGTTCTCGTGAAGGTTAAACATGCAGTCCTCTCCAGTTATGACTTCATAGATAACTTTGCCCAACTGACCAATGTCGGTCTGTATTGAGTATCCATTATCATCGTCCGTTTCCATATTGGTATCTGGAGGCATTATGGTAGATTCGGTGAAATCGCAAAACTTGATGGAGAGATCAGAATCCAGCAGAATGTTTCGGCAGGCAATATCTGCAATGATGACTGAACGATTGTGTATGTGCGATAAAGCAAGGGCCATCTGCCGAAACCATGATAACTGAAGAGACTTTGAAGGCTTGTTTCTTGATAAATATGATCGCAGATCTCCGTTTTCCATGAACGCAAGTTGAGTAGTTTTCTCAGAGAAAAAGATAGATGATACAACCCCATCACATTGTCCGAGCTGATCGTAAACCTTTTGCTCCCTTTGGATAACCATGATATTATCAATTATTTCATCATGCGTGGTATAGGAGTACCTCAGGGGCAATTTAACAGCCACATCGCCTTTTCGAATAACAACACCGGACCGGCCATATCCAAGTAACTGTTTCTCTGGGATAAAGTTGCCGGAAGGGTCCAAGAATGGTGTTGTCATGATGGAACAAAGACAATTATCTCGGCGATAAACACAATTTGCTTGAATTCACTGACAGTAAAGCTATATCTGCTTAGACTTAAAGCGGAATTTAAAGCCACGCCCCTTGATTCCAACATTGGTAACACCTTCAAACAAACTAACCGACTGTGGTTTAGCCTCAATCGCGGGTAAGGTGGTGTGGAGGTATTATTGACCGCCTAAGAATAAGAGAAACTCCGGTCAGATTATGTTTGCCGCCTGAGATAAAGAGTTGTACCTGTCAATCTATGCCCCCACTGTCACCCCTGCTGCTAAAGAGCTCCCACTACTACCACTAGGACCTTCATCATCCTTTTTTGGGGTCGGGTTCGGTTGGTGTCTGTGCTTGGGACAGTTCAATTTACGTTTGGTGGAACTCGCTTGAGAAGTCGGAGTAAGAACTGGACACATTGTACCACGACTTTGAGCGGGTGGGCACCAATCAACTCGGTCCGCTTCTGGGTCAAATTTTGTGCAATTGCGGCTGTCTTTTCCGATACAGTCAGGGTAGCTGACCGGGGTTTTGTGTCTCTGAAAACACATGCTTGCTGGATTGATCACGCAACAAAACTTAGAATTTCAGTGTTGGTAAAGTTGACTTGTTCTATGGAAAGTTGGGTCAAAACTTTGGCCACCATGACTTTTAAGGTGGTCGGCAATCTTACAGGTAAACTATCAGAAATCACGAGGAAAACACCAATACTTACATCTAACCAAAGCTTACACGCACCAAAGCTTACACGCACCAATATTTACATGCATCAATACTTACATGCATCAATACTTACATGCATCAATACTTACATGCACCAATACTTACTTGCACCAATACTTACATGCACCAATACTTACATGCACCTACTTACATGCATCAATACTTACATGGTGGCCACCAAAACTAACACAATGAATATCAATACTAACAAAGTGGGCAGGTGACACGTAATATTGGGTATTCGAACTTGAGTCTTGACACAGAATGCTACAGTCACTCAAATGAGGGTCTGGGCCTATCTATGCATAATCAAAAGTGGCTCCGGAAAAGAGACGATATCGTCCAATCGGCAGCATAATAATATTCCCTTTTTAAACCCTGACAGCTTTAAATCTACTAGGGGAAATAGAGCCCACGTTCTATATCATCGTCTTTTTTTATATATTATAAGTATATATATCGGAGTCAGATATTGGGCGCAAATATACATACAGGCCACTCTAGAAGTGTTTCTGCCCAGTATCCTACATTTATCAACCTTCTGTGCTTCAGATATCGTTTTGTTCAAGCTTTTTGAAACATGGATTGTCTCGCCAGCTTTGTTCCCCATTGGATTAAACAATGGATGGCGTCGGTTTCAGGTAATACTCAAAAGCAAGAGGTCAGCAACGTGCCTGCTCTTTATCGAATACGTTGCACTGAAACTTCCCAGTTTATAATATTCGCGTACGCGGAAAGAGGCATAGATGATTTGGTGGTGACGTTTTGCCGTGACGGCTTCCAGGACCACTGCCCTTGGTGCGAGTTCAAATCCATTGGGCCAGACGCGACGGCTGCAGTAGTCAAGGCTGGCTGGAACTGCAGAGACCTGGATTGGATAGCGACATCTATACGTGAGGGAGGCTTCGAGGAACGAGATTTAGATCGACTTCGAAATGAGGCAAGAAACAAGCGGCGTCAAATTTCCTATTGTAATTCCTCTGATCCTTTGAGTGTTTTTGAATGAGCCTAAACACAACTTGGAAGGGTCTATTTGCTTTGTTACATTTGTGTCATGCATTAACTTTGTACTTAATATACTCGTGGCTCTTGACTGCATGAACGAGGGGTAGGCTGTTCAAGGGTATCATTCCTGCTGGAGTAGTGTCATTGAGATATGTAAAAATTAGCTTGCTTACACGAGTGACCGTACCTTGTAACACCTTGTAGGGATGAGAGCTACCTCCTTGGCCTCCATAGCACAAGCTCGTAAGACCTACGAGGTATATAATGGCTCTGATCTCTCATACAATAGCCCATACAGCTGAGCCACTGTCTGACCTCCTCAAACATACCATGGCTAGCCCGCAAAAGAAAGAAGAGACACTCAAGAAGATTATCCAGAACTCGTCCATCCGTTTCATCTGCCCTCTTTGCCTCAAAGGCTTTCCTCGGGGGGACGTCTTGTACCGTCATTTCCGTGAGCAGCAGGACGATAAGCATGCAGGCCTGGGGAAGAGAACGTCGAAAAAAAAAGCCGATATTGATAGTTTCTTTGCCTGCTACCAAGAACTTGTTAGGACGCCCATGGCTGCTGAAAGCATACCTCCAGGCCCTAACTGCTTTGAGGTTGATTTTGTGGTCAAAAATTTCGGATCTTCCGAGCACACGTTGAATACTTCGGAAACGATTGAAGGCACTCTCAAGAAGATTATTCAAAACTCGCGCATTCGCTTTATTTGTCCCCCTTGTCTTAAAGGTTTTCCTCGAATCGATGTCTTGTCCCATCACTTCCGCGAACAGCAGGAGCAGGGTGACGATACACATGCAGGGCTAGCCATGAAAGACCGTGACCATTTTACATTTTTTCTCAGCTATCGGGTAGTCCTCGGAACCTCTATGACTGCTAGGGATATACCCCGAGGCCCAGAGTGCTTCTCGACTGCTTTTGTGGTCGAACACTATGAAGAGGTCACTTGAAAGGTCAGAAGATGTTATACCTGAGCACGGTTGTTTGCCGATAGGTAAGACCCTTCCCGGTAGCCTAGGTCATAGAAAGTCCTAGACATAACCATGAGATGTTTTTGCTGAGGATTGTCTTGTAGGGTATAGTGATGCTGTTCAAAGTTTTGCTGGGTTTTATGCTTCTGCCATTTTGAACGCTGGAGACAATGATGATAATTGCCTACTGGAAAGAATGTGGTTATTCAGATACCGTGAGGGGTTTGATTGATTTATGAGCTATTGTTGGCATACGATAAATCTTGTTTTTTTCTTTCCCTTTGCTTTTTCCCTAACATTCCTTAGATGATCTTGAAAGCGGTGTTTGAAAATTCTCCTGCAGCCCAGGGATTTTGTAGCCCTATTCATTGCAAACTAGTATTGTACAGGCTGGTAACGGCAAATGTACCACGGGCGTAGTCTGATTCCATCAAATGTCTGTGTATGATTCTCGAACTCAGCTTTGCTGGAGGGTAAAAATCAATGTCCCGTATACCAAACATGCCGGAACGACGATTGCCACAAACGCAGCTAATCGGCAGGAAGTCTTCAGCCCGGACAGATGTGTGGCCTCAAACAACCTAGAGTGGTGGATATAGTGGAGTGCCCAAGAACACTCACGATGCGTGGAAACCAAAGCAGTTCATGGCAGCGCGCTTCTTGAATGCGGCAGGAGTTTGGCCACATCACTGTCACTTCGAGATCTTGCGGCAGCCAGGGCTCTACAGAGCGAGGACTAGAACTGATTCCCTGATGAATACTCGGTCACGCCGGCACCGATAGAAACGAGAAGGCTGACAGAGCGGCCAGGCTCGCACTCAGTCGACCGGTTGCCAACCAGAAGGAATCGCAGGACCATCACCGGCGTTTGTCAACCGGAGGTACACGGAGAATATTCGAGATCGCAAGTCAGGCTTGCCTAGACTCTAAGCAAGCGCTCTCACAACAGCCAGCGAGCCTATCGAAGCTGGGTCGCATAGAGAGCAGACAAGCCGCTGACCACCCGTTTCTTCCAGTTGAGAGGTTGACATGATAGAGGCGTAGTCACCCAGTCTAGAGGACACTCAATCCGCTTGAGACACAAAGTATGTCAGCTGCAGCTCAAATGCGCTGCGCAAATAGGCGGCTTAGGGCGAGGAAAGGGACCAGACAATAGTCAAACGTAGCTCACACCCAGGAACTCAGTGCGGAGAGGTGAAAGCAGCTTCACTGGGTGATAAATTCTCTGCCTCGGATTTGTCATCTGTCATAACTCTAGGGCTCGATATAGACAATAAACGTGATTCAGAATAATGATTATACCTGGAGGCACCTACTCTCCTGAATTGTAGGGCTGAGGAAGTGAAGAACATGGAGAAACAGGGCCAATGCCAGAGAACCAGTCCTTAGGATGCTCCCAAGTTAGATGATGGTTGAATCAACTTCTAGATGGGAGTCAAGTTTTGACCAAATTCAAATTTGTGAAAAAGATAGATAAAGATACATAGATAATGAGGAAAACGGACGTTTTATAGCCAAGATTCCCCTTTGCTTTCCAGCATCCTAGGATGCTAGAACGCGAGTGGCTTGGCAAGCAACACATGAAGTTCAGGTCAAAGAGTCTCTGCGGGAAACAAAGAAAAGGTGCAGGCTGTTGCAGCATCTCCAGTGACGGTAACTTATGGAGAGTAAAACATATCCAAAATGCTCTCCTTCATGTGACTGGAAATATCGACCGATACATCATCGCCGTCCTTCAGACTTGCAAGAGTTTCATAATCTGTTATATAGACAGATTCGCCCAATGCCAACTCGAACCATGTATTGAGGACTTCAAGTTCCTGAAGCTTTCCATTATACGCCTCACACCATGAAAAATGGATAAGGTGTACTCTGAGCAGCTCAACAATTGTTTCTTCGGTCAGTTTAAAATGGACCCGCGTATCGATTTTAGTCACATATGCGTTGACATGGACAATTTCGTAACCTAGCTCCCGACCGTCAGACCTTGAGGGCATATCAAATAGAATAGAGCAAAAAGTCCACTCGCGCAAGGTTGGTGCTGAATCTGGTGAATCGTATCTCGACACGGATTTTGAAGGTGGGCGCGGCGTGGAAGAAATGGAAGTCTCGACTCGTATACACTGCCTTTTATACTTGACGCAAGTAGAGCAAAGATTATCTGATGAACACTGTATAAGTTAGTAAAGGTATTATTTGAACTTCTCGATCATTTTACCTTGATCTTACGGCGGCGGCATTCCTCGCACGCGCGGGATCGCTAGATTCGTAAGTATAGACCTAATCAAAAGTATGTCCCAACCTATCGTACAATTATTGAGCCACGACGTTTGCAATTGCCGCGCGCTAAATGCATTTTGCGAGCATACGTTCGAGAAAATGTTGCGTCACATTTGGGATACTTCGGCTTTGTGACGCCGGATTTCTCGCGTTGGCGAGGCATATTGAGAAATGAATACCGAACTAGTAGAAGTGCTGAGCGCTGGGGGTAGATGACTTGTATAGATAATAGAATTGAAATCATCAGCATTACAAGAAGAGCAGATGTTGAGAGATTATAGTTCCACAATCTATCGGCCAACTTTGACGTAAGACACATAACCATAGCCTATTTCTTTATACGGTTAATTGGGGGTAGACGCGTGTTGTCAACGAGTGGGAAATAACCCGTCTTACCCGATAGCTCAGCACTTTGTGGAGCTCTAGACCGATTGAACCCGGGCTATCTTACCGCTGGCCTTATGTATGGCTTGAGCTAACAGTCAAACCCGGCCATAGATGTGGTAGCATAACCGCGGGCCACTGTCCCTACCTAACCAGTGTGTTTTCTCATCATAATGAATATCACGCGGCCCGCGGATCTAGGCCGGGGTGGCAGAGGGCTACCTACTTGCCTCGGGAACACCAAGGCCCGTGATTGGTCGTCAAATCGCTTTCAATACACCAGAATATGTTGAAGGTGGAGCTTCACAAAGACGCGGAAAATACCGCCCCTGTATCCAAGAACCATTCATAGGATAGCAATCGCTTTAGGGCACTCCTTGCCGTAGAAGAGAAAAGGGGTTGGAGGGGTGGGGAGAAGGAAGTATCGGGGGAATTTCTTCCCCATATATTAGTTCTCTCAGCTACTTTGAACCTGAGTTAATTGCTATCCCCTAAGATTTAGATTTCGATCACGCCCTGTTTTACACATCTCACTTCCTGTCAAGGGAAATGGTTAGCGACCAGTCCAGTTACCTTAAGGATTTTTGCTAACGCATATAAAGAGCGCTTTACCTAGATATATCCTCCTTCCTCCGGCCGAGTTTGCTTTGAAATGTATGCAGACATCGCGCTTCGGCTCCAAAATCATCGGATTGACATCATTTCGACAAAGCCTTGACCCCAAAAACAAGGCACTCTTGGATATCTATCAGGGCCTCGGAATAGGAGGGTATCGCTTGGCAGGCATGTTTCTGCTCAGTGAAAACTCATTCCTTGATGAGTATACCAAACGTATCTCCGACATGCTTCATGACGACGTCATTCTACAACTAGCCCTTCTGGCTTGGCACTTTGACGCAGCGCTACTTTCAAAAGAGTTTCTGGAATTTTTTGCACACCCCCATGAGAAAGCTGAAGCTGTGTGCAATAGACTGTGGGGACCATACACTTCGCAGACTGGGAAAAAGATGCTATACTACAGCTTCAGGGAGAAACTGTTGGATACACTTGGTTTTGTCGAATATCTTGTTGGAAATGATACAATCAATGTGTTAATGTAGGGGGCGGAAATTCTTAAGATGACGTCGGTCAGCATCCTGTACCATTTTGTGGAGGTCAATATCTGGAAATTTTCCCAATTTGTTTGTACTTACCTTTCGAGTCAACTTATAAACTTCTCTAATCGCGGTGTCTGAAGGACTGTTGCATTACATGATCGAGGAGCCAGCCGCAAATCTCCGTGAAGATATACGTAATGGATGGATATTTTCGAGCAACTGGAACGATTTGAGATCAGAAAAATGCAAATCCTCCTGCAGCTGTTGATTCTACTCAAAAAGAAACTAATTACTGGTCTTGTCCCACTCAAGTGTGAGATGCAACAAACAATATGTAGATTATTAACAGGACAAATAGTCAAGACAAATATTGATCTCCGACTGGGCCTTGACCAAGTGTGACACCAATTTGTCCATCGAAACTCGTTCCGCAGAGATATTCTCAATGAAACCCTCCCGTTTGTAATTTTGCAACACTCCTGATCTACACATGGTCAGAATGAAGATACTGATTATCCTTTTATTGCACTTACACCCATTGCACACAAGGACAGAGTTCTCGAATCGGCAGCATGAGATGCTCTGAAATCCAAAGATGACTTTTCAAATCTTCGATTTCCAGACATTTATCAGTGGCACTGAAAGTAACAGTATCAAACGCTGTATCGGGCTTTCTCTTGGTCCATATAATCTCGTTCAGGACAAGACTGATCGTAAAAGTCTCGTGGGATTGACTGAGAATAACAATCCAATGTGCCCTACAGTGTGTAGTTGGGACAAGCTGGAGAGAGATAGAAAATTCTGGCATAGTAGACGAATTGAAAACAAATCCGGAAGTGAAGTATCAGTTAACAATTGCTGTCCAGCCAATATCGTCGGATTGGCTGATATACTGGCTTCAAGGAGTAGCAAGTCACAGCAATCAATATCAATATAAACCAGAAAATGATAAGAACGATTGTAATGCTGAGGAGGCTATCCCCCATTATTACAATGATAACTGAATTGGAAGTGGTGGGATCTTGTAGATAACAAAAGCGAAATTGTCGTTATGAAATATCCGCTCGCCCTGATTGAATTGTTAATACAAAGAGGGACTACCCGCGGAAAGAGTGACATACTGTATAGAGTCTCCTCACTTTTTCGGGCGAAAAAACCAACTTGGAGAGCTGTGGACCGCCATGGTGCTGAGTGGAAGCCTTAGGTTTATGGCAATTG